CGGGGGCTGAAAGGCGGCACCGCTTGCAGCCGAGAAGGGTGGCAGCGCACCCGGGACCGGGGGGGCTCGAGCCTGCCGGCTCTGCGCGCCCGGGTGGGCTCTTCCCGGTCACCGACAGGAGAGCGTAGGCGAGCAGATGCCCCAGGGATAGGATCGCCACCATTTTCCGTGGAAAACTATTTCACAGCCCGGTGAGTCTCACTATTAAGAAAGCCCCTTGATAGCCAGGCTATCAAGAATGCACCCTTGCTTCGCCGGCTGAACGAGCCACCGGTAACATCTTCTGTATTTTGCCTGGTAGCCTCACTTTGCATTTGATGTTCGTTGCTCAGTCGGTGGAAAGCTTATTTTTCTCTCACCTCCCTCCTCTATCACAGATCCAATAACCGCATTTTAGAGGGAAGCAGAATAGTATGTATTACAGCACAGTGGGTGCCTAAATGCTCCTCAGACTATTGACGAACGATAATCCAATCCCTTCTCACTGACGTGCGGTAAGAATCACTCCTCTCTCACCAACTTGTTGCCCTTTACTGAACTTATCACAGTGCCTGCACATAAGCCCCAAAACTTAAAAGCTTTGTAAAAGAAATATAGCCGAGCCATACAAGCATAGAGCTGTAGGCGACAAAGTCTCAGCCTTTTAATTTTCACGCTGACTTGTTTGGCACTGCTGGGCAAGTTATTTCAGTGCTTTCTGCTTCTTTAACAAAAAAGAACAGTATAATAAAATTACTGATCACATGGCTCAGGCTGTTAGGCTCAAGCAAGCTTTATCAAAGTATTTTTACTCTTCAAAGATGGAAAGTGCAATAATGTTTTAGTAAAGAACAATAAATGTAAAAACTATTATTCTGCTTTACCTGCATACTCCCACATCTTTCTTTTCAAGATTAAAGTCTGAAAAAGTATGGCAGAGCATGTACTTAAAAATAAAAAATATGCAACAATGACATTAGGATATATAATAAGAAAATGGGCTATTTCGATTTCCAAGCCAAAATTTTCTTACTGTGAACAGTGGCAAATTTTCATTTTTTATGAGATACTCCAAAATACAGTGTGTTTCAGAGCAGGAACTGGGGTCTTTTTCTCATCTGACATTCTCTAGAGCTTTTAATCTGTATTAGCAACCGTACTTAATCTCCTGTTCAAGAATCTGCAGGGTCTCTCAAAAGTATAGTAGTTCTGCTCCGTGATATTAGTTTTGTTATGTTTCATATCATTTGTTTTTTCATTTATTTGTTTAAAGGTTATGAAAGGATGTAGCCATTTCATACACTTTGAGTGTAAAGGAGTATTTCAGTTAAAAACCTACAATGTTTTTTGCAAATGGTATTTGGAAATCACTTCCTTTTATCCTTCAAAAATAGGAATAGAAGGAAACTGCAAGAGACTGTCCCCTACCAAACACGTTGTGGGAATGAACCTGGCGATATGTTTGCTTACAGTATCACAATCATATCACGACAAGTAATGTATTTTTCCATTTCTGTCCTGTACTACTGATAGGCTGCGTAGTTCAGATACGGTGTCCAAATTCTGTTGGTCTGAAAATGAAAAATAATATGTTGATATTCTTCAAGTTTCTGCACGCATCAAAAAAATATCATCCCCATTTTGGGAAAACCAACAGATCAATCTGTGGCCCAAAAAAGGGCCCAGACTGCAGCAGTTACAGTGAATGTCGTAACTCAGGATTGCAATGCATTGGCAGGACTGTTTGGGGAAGCTTGCATAACATCTGTCTGCAACATGCCTGATTCAAACCAGCATTCCTCCTCTCGTGAACACTGATGACTTTTTAAAAGTAAAATAAACTTGGGTCATTATGCAAGCAAACTGATTTTCCTGGGTGCTTATCCAGATCTGCTTAAGCAACAGAAAACCCACAACTTAAAAGCTATTTATTTTATATTTACTAAATATTTTTACCACAGTTGTGTCCTTTTTTCTCCTTTTTTTGTTCAGCGTTCTGATCTCAGTCCTGTGAGCCATACTCAAGTGAGTACTCTTTATGACGCCAGAGGGACTACTCTTGTAGAGGGATTGATGCAGTTAAAAATCCCCGCTCGCTGCTTTGAACATTTTTAGTGCTTTATTCTCATTATGTTAGCATAGTAGGGAACATGTAAAGACATGCTTCATTTTGGATGTTTACTCCCTAGATTGTTTTTCACAGATGGTTTTATTTTCAGGTTTCTTAGTTGTCTTGTTCCTCTTACAAGGTGTGGCTAGTTATTTTACTCAAACGGCTTACGGCTTTGTAGCTTTTATGTGAGCTCCACTGCCATTTTTAGTACTCACATATAAATAAATAAATCACAAATTACAAGGTTTGCTTGTTAGTTTTGTTTGGAATTTTTGTGCGTAATACAGAGAACATGTTAACATAGGATTAATATTTTATATCACGCATACTTAAAGATTTAAGTGTGGTTAACAACAAAAGATGAATTACAATAGAAATGGATTTAGACTTAATTTCACTAATCCATGAATTTACTTGTTCCCATTTTTTATATCTGTTATTTCTTTCAAGTGTCACATGAAGACAGAACAGGATTAAAAACCTGTTTTGACCCTCTTCAGCACTCTACATGCAGGAAAAGCTTTGTGATAGATATAGGAACTCTGAGTAGTGGAAGACAAAAGACAGTGAGGAAAGGAAGGGGAGAAGGATTTGAGCCACACTCCTCTTAAGTGTTACGTAAAAATTTTGTAGCGCTCATTCACAGTAAGATTCAATTTCAAGACTTGTAGTTTGGTCTTACAGACAGATATCTAATTACTTCTGAAAATAAATGCCATTGGGAAGGACTATATTTCAAATGGAATTGAGTTTGTAACAAATGCCGAAGCTTAACAGCAGTGTTTGACACCCTTTTGTCTGCAGTTGTTCAGAAAAGAAGGTGCAGGTATCTGAAACATACATTAAGAAGAAGGCACAACATCTGCTGTGGCAGGTACACCACTGGGAAATTGGAAAAACATGAAAAAGTACTTGAGCAAAAGTATTCCTTTCCATGAAACAAGACTTGGGGAATGAAATCTTCTTGGGACTTAGCAATGTAAAAAGCCATTAAAAAATGACCCAGGATAAAGCAAGCAAGCTTTGTTTGCTCCATGAGTAGTCTTTAATGGCACGAGAAATATTTGGAGATGGAATATTTTGTTGCCACCTGTCTCCATTTTACGAGGAAATTGGGAACGCATTGCAACAAAAGAAGAAATCCTTCATCCTTTATTCAGGACTTTTATAGAGAGTTTAAGCCTAGTAAGGACCAGAGAGCTCTATTCAGTGAGTTATCATTTGCTTCAATCACGGGCAATTTACCAGATTACTTTGCACTATCTCTGAATAGCTATAACATTCCAAAGAATGGAAATCAAATCATCTTTTCAGGACTCTATTTATAATCTCTCGTGTGCTCCTCTCTGTCATGCTGTCGACTCATCCTGGTTTCAGCTGAATCTCAGAATAAAAAAAGATTCACAGGAGATCTTGCTTAGGTAAACCTTTCCTGAGGGGGATCTTAAGAAATTAAGATTGCGTGGATTCTCCTTTGAGATTGTCCGTTACACAGACATATGTAATGGGATATAAGTTTGGAAATATCGAACAAGCAGTGTCCAGTAGTCAGGACTGGTACTACCTTGAACTTGAACAGATAAGGAGATACAGCCCACATTGCTAGCATTTTGCAATGTTATTAAAGATGACCCTACCATTATCATTTCAAAACGTGTAATAATTATGTTTTAGAATTAAATAGTTAATGCTCGGTGCTGTTATCAGCACAACTATCTGGAGATTGTTTTCCACACTACAAAAGATAACATCAGTGCAACTTGAAGCGGGATCAGAGAGTAGATTTCTTAGATGACATTAAATGGGACTTCCCTCCTAATATTTCAAAATTATCTTCCCATCACATCTAGCCATTAGCTTCCATAACATTTTTCCCATTGAGCTAAGGTTACAGTAGATAGTTTTTCTAATCCTAATAATTGTGTGAAACTCGCAGGCTGATGATACCGTAAGCCAGGAATCTGCAGGATCATTCAGGCTGTAAATTGCTTCCATCTTGAGCAAAAGTGGCAAATCATCTCACTGTGCTGGGCGATGTATAGCTCTGCCCTAAACCCAGGCATTTATTAACACATTTGTAGATAAGCTTTAGGAGCATATGAACGCAGAATGGCTTGATTACGGTCACATGGGAAGTCCATCAGGAACGTTATTTGCTCATAAATCTCCCTAGTCCTCACACACAATTCTAGCTTTAGAAGTATGTTTTCCTGTTACACATCCAAGAATGATCTCATAAACTACACTACCATATCATCATTGTAATTTCACTTAAGAGCATCTTTGTTTTGAGATTTCACATCACATGGTATTTCCAAATGTGTGTTATCTGGTACAAACAGTTGCTCAGGCTGTCTTGAATTTTTCGTGGTTTTATGTGTTCCACGCTACTTTTAAAATTGAAGCTATATTCACTTTCCTCGCGGATTTGCAGTCCAAGAGTCCAGAAGCATGCGTGGAGGCTCCTTCCACTGCATGGGGGTAACACCCTCTTCATGAATGCTGATTCACTCAACACCTCCCATAAAACAATGTCTTACTTTTCCATTGCACAGCTAACTTTGCAGAAACATTGGTTCCTGAAGCTGTTTCTCCCTGTGTGACAGCCTACAAGGTTTAACATTCCTGCAAGGAGCATGTGGGAAAAGGACGCTGTGCAGAGGAACGTGCTGTCTTTGTCAATGGAATTGCCAAGTACACAAGAGCCAGATTCTGTTCTATTTATTTTTCAGTCCCATTTCCCTCCCATTCTGTCCCAGCTCTGTATGCACACACTTAAAAACGCCTCAGGCAGCAACTGCTATCTCAAGTTAAGGTCAATCAATACAGCTGATGCGTTGATGTTTGATTATAGGTAGCTGATGGTTTCCTCTGGCACGGGTTAACCTTGTTAAATATATGGTTTAAAAATATTCCCTCAAAATTAATTTTCTGCTTGTGTTTAGATACACTGTGTGCAATGCTGCTTCTCTGACCTTGACGGGATGGGTGGTGACAGCTAAAACACTGCTTTACTTTGCCAACACTGAAATTCACTCCTACATTATAAAACAAGTTCAGGGGTTGTTACTGTCTTCCACACCAGTGCATCTGATCTCTCTTGACAAAGGGGGCCTGGGATGGTTGTATTCATCACATGAATGCCCTGTTAGAGCTTTTTCAGCGAACTCAGTCTGGGCTGTTTGCTTCTATTCACCACACAGTAAGAAAAGGACCATTTGCTTCTGTTCATCTCATGTACTACTTCTTGCCAGAGAATAAGCTGTATGACATGCACAGAGTCCAAAAGGATTTTAGTGACGTCTTGATTGTAACAACGGTCTAACTTGAAAACTTCCAGCTTTTAAGAAGAACTGATTTTTTTACATTATGCTGGAGTTGAAGACACGCTAATATATTCCTTCAGATTTTTCTTACCCCTATGCTTTGTCAATAGCTTCAGTCCTGAGGGAGAACAGCTGTACTTAGAAGAGCTTTTAAGAAACCACTAAATTCACTAGGACACCGATTCCTATTGTAGTAGGTCAGCATGTCTCCAGCTGTACTCTGATTTCCAGTAATAGAGCTAATCTTCTAAATCAATATGTGATTGCAGTTGGGAAGCCTGCATCATTACACCAGGTAAGTCCAATCTTGCCTCCTTCCATGCTTACCTATAAAATTTTTGCAGAAAGGGCCCTCAAGCAAGGTTTAAGCATCTTACTGAACTTCTGTGTTTAATGAGATGTACTTGAAAATTGAAATACTGAAAGAAAATATGAAACAGTCCAGCACTGCAGAACAACCTTCTGAAGTTTTACCTAGAGCTTTGTAAATTCCTTAAACTTTTCAACAGTGGTATGATATTCTTCTGAAAAGTTGTGTATGTATGTATATATTTAAAAAACCTCACTTAATGGAATCAAGAATTAACACTTGTAACAAACAAGTGCCTTATATCCAAAAATTTTGAAGTTATTTAAAACATTAAAAACCCCCAGGGAGAATAGATTCTCAGAAATCTGTATTTTGAAAGATAAGACTCCATGTATTTTACACCAACACAAAAGGCCAATTTATTTGCTATTTTCCCTGAAAATTCATAGGCAGGAGCTGTAATTAGATCTCATCCAGTTAAAACTTAACGATTAATCCAAACTGCCTTCCAAAGGGTTAGCATACTATTGTGTTACAAAGAGGAAGAAATTACCACTGTCAAAGGTCAGATTTTACTTCTTTTACTCACCTTTACTGAACTCTGAGCCTAAGCGTCTTACTTCAGTGTTTTTGAGAATGTGATTTGAACTGTTAACAAGGGATTGCAGAAACAGGTCCCACATGAAAACGACTTTCAATGAAGTATTACCTTTGCTTTTAGAATTATCTTAGATCGCACTTGTAAATTCGCAGTGGATTTCCCATTAATTAATGTGAATTAGCTAGTTGTGGCTGTTCAATTTAGGTTAATTCTAAATGTTTTACAGTGCATCGCTAATTATTGGGGAAAAAAACCCCACAACCTTATTAAAAAGCATGCAGGTGCAAGCTGTGAATCGCAGGGAATCACTGCTTTCGCTCGGCTCTGCTGGCTGCTCCGACAGGGTGTTTGCTTTGGATAGCTCCTAGCATCGCCGTCCCGCAGAGCGCGGCGACTTCTGCAAGGGCCCAACGCAGGGTGGGCAAAGTCACAGCTCGGCACAAGGCGGGGAGGCTCCACTAAATGCTTCTGGCCTCCCCGAGGATCCTGTCCCATTCTCTCCTTTCTAATGCACCCTAACAAAGGGGCTGGGGACAGCCCCAGGTCGGGGCGGGGGGAGCAGCACGGCTGGGCCGGGGCGCAGCCGTCTGGCCAAGACACTGGGCCCATTCTCCGCTATTGTGGACACCCGCTGAATGCCGCTTTTTGTCCCTCGCCCGCGCACAGGCAGACATATAAACTGTGTCTTTTGTTCTTCAGTCAGAGGAGAAATCTGCCTTGGCGGTCAAACACGCTGGCCTGGCACAGCGGCGCTGCATGTGGGAAAAGGACGCTGTGCAGAGGAACGTGCTGTCTTTGTCAATGGAATTGCCAAGTACACAAGAGCCAGATTCTGTTCTATTTATTTTTCAGTCCCATTTCCCTCCCATTCTGTCCCAGCTCTGTATGCACACACTTAAAAACGCCTCAGGCAGCAACTGCTATCTCAAGTTAAGGTCAATCAATACAGCTGATGCGTTGATGTTTGATTATAGGTAGCTGATGGTTTCCTCTGGCACGGGTTAACCTTGTTAAATATATGGTTTAAAAATATTCCCTCAAAATTAATTTTCTGCTTGTGTTTAGATACACTGTGTGCAATGCTGCTTCTCTGACCTTGACGGGATGGGTGGTGACAGCTAAAACACTGCTTTACTTTGCCAACACTGAAATTCACTCCTACATTATAAAACAAGTTCAGGGATTGTTACTGTCTTCCACACCAGTGCATCTGATCTCTCTTGACAAAGGGGGCCTGGGATGGTTGTATTCATCTCATGAATGCCCTGTTAGAGCTTTTTCAGCGAACTCAGTCTGGGCTGTTTGCTTCTATTCACCACACAGTAAGAAAAGGACCATTTGCTTCTGTTCATCTCATGTACTACTTCTTGCCAGAGAATAAGCTGTATGACATGCACAGAGTCCAAAAGGATTTTAGTGACGTCTTGATTGTAACAACGGTCTAACTTGAAAACTTCCAGCTTTTAAGAAGAACTGATTTTTTTACATTATGCTGGAGTTGAAGACACGCTAATATATTCCTTCAGATTTTTCTTACCCCTATGCTTTGTCAATAGCTTCAGTCCTGAGGGAGAACAGCTGTACTTAGAAGAGCTTTTAAGAAACCACTAAATTCACTAGGACACCGATTCCTATTGTAGTAGGTCAGCATGTCTCCAGCTGTACTCTGATTTCCAGTAATAGAGCTAATCTTCTAAATCAATATGTGATTGCAGTTGGGAAGCCTGCATCATTACACCAGGTAAGTCCAATCTTGCCTCCTTCCATGCTTACCTATAAAATTTTTGCAGAAAGGGCCCTCAAGCAAGGTTTAAGCATCTTACTGAACTTCTGTGTTTAATGAGATGTACTTGAAAATTGAAATACTGAAAGAAAATATGAAACAGTCCAGCACTGCAGAACAACCTTCTGAAGTTTTACCTAGAGCTTTGTAAATTCCTTAAACTTTTCAACAGTGGTATGATATTCTTCTGAAAAGTTGTGTATGTATGTATATATTTAAAAAACCTCACTTAATGGAATCAAGAATTAACACTTGTAACAAACAAGTGCCTTATATCCAAAAATTTTGAAGTTATTTAAAACATTAAAAACCCCCAGGGAGAATAGATTCTCAGAAATCTGTATTTTGAAAGATAAGACTCCATGTATTTTACACCAACACAAAAGGCCAATTTATTTGCTATTTTCCCTGAAAATTCATAGGCAGGAGCTGTAATTAGATCTCATCCAGTTAAAACTTAACGATTAATCCAAACTGCCTTCCAAAGGGTTAGCATACTATTGTGTTACAAAGAGGAAGAAATTACCACTGTCAAAGGTCAGATTTTACTTCTTTTACTCACCTTTACTGAACTCTGAGCCTAAGCGTCTTACTTCAGTGTTTTTGAGAATGTGATTTGAACTGTTAACAAGGGATTGCAGAAACAGGTCCCACATGAAAACGACTTTCAATGAAGTATTACCTTTGCTTTTAGAATTATCTTAGATCGCACTTGTAAATTCGCAGTGGATTTCCCATTAATTAATGTGAATTAGCTAGTTGTGGCTGTTCAATTTAGGTTAATTCTAAATGTTTTACAGTGCATCGCTAATTATTGGGGAAAAAAACCCCACAACCTTATTAAAAAGCATGCAGGTGCAAGCTGTGAATCGCAGGGAATCACTGCTTTCGCTCGGCTCTGCTGGCTGCTCCTGCAGGGTGTTTGCTTTGGATAGCTCCTAGCATCGCCGTCCCGCAGAGCGCGGCGACTTCTGCAAGGGCCCAACGCAGGGTGGGCAAAGTCACAGCTCGGCACAAGGCGGGGAGGCTCCACTAAATGCTTCTGGCCTCCCCGAGGATCCTGTCCCATTCTCTCCTTTCTAATGCACCCTCGGGAACTGGGGGGCTCTGCTTCCCAACCACCACGCTCCTCTTTTGTGCTGGGTTGCGAGGCCTCGGCAGAGCTCCTTTTCAAGTATGTCAACGCTTGCCCTGAATGAGTCCTTCCAGCACCGGGAGGCATTCCTCATCTCCAAAGGGTTGAGTGGGCGGCTGTTCCTCGCGTCTACGCGGGGCTGGGAAGACAAAGAGCTGGGGACAGCCCCAGGTCGGGGCTGGGGGAGCAGCACGGCTGGGCCGGGGCGCAGCCGTCTGGCCAAGACACTGGGCCCATTCTCCGCTATTGTGGACACCCGCCGAATCCCGCGTTTTGTCCCTCGCCCCCGCACAG